GAGTGCTTCCTTCATTATTATGAAATGTCCTTCTTTGTCTCATTTTATAGCCTTTGTTTTAAAGTCTAAGTATTGCCACCCAGCTTTTCATGTTCATTTTCGGTTGTATGAAATATCTTTTTCCATCCCTTTGCATTTAGTCTGTGAGTCTTTGGATCTGAAGTGTGTCCCTTGTAGGCAGCATGTGTATGGCGTGTGTGTGTTTTAACTCAGCTACCCTATGTCTTGCTATTGGAACATTTAGTCCATTTACATTTAAAGTGTTTATTGATAAGTACATAGTCATTGCCATTTTATCATTTATATTTATGTTTTTCCCCCTTTCCCTTCTTAAAGAGGTTTTTTTTTTTTAATCCTCCCCAAGGATTTTTATTTTCAATTGATTTTAGAGAGAGAGGAAGGGAGAGAAGGCGAAACATCTGTGTGAGAGAGAAACATCAATTGGTTGCTTCCTATATGCACTCTGGCAGGGGATCAAACCCACAACTTAGGTATGTGCCCTAACCAGGAATCGAACCTGCAGCCTTTTAGTGTATAGAACAACACTCCAACCAACTGAGCAACCCAGCCAGGTCTTTAAAAAGTCCCTTTAACATTTCTTATCATATGGTTTGGTGGTAATGAACTATTTTAGCTTTTTATTGTCTGGGAAGCTCTTTATTTCTCCTTCAGTTTTAAATGATAGCCTTTGTGTATAGGGTAGACTTGGTTGTAGGTCTTTGCTTTTCATTGCTTTGCATATTTTTTGTGAGTCCTTTCTAGCCTGCAAAGTTTCTAGCCAGCTGTTGAGAAATCAGCTGACAGCCTTATAGGAGTTCCTTTGTAGGTAACTAACTGCCTTTCTCTTGCTACTTTAAAAATTCTCTCTTTGTCTTTAAACTTTGGCATTTTGATTATTATGTGTCTTGGTGTGGTCCTCTTTGGGTTCATACTCTTACCCACTCTCTTTTGATTTATTTTTTGCCACCTTTTTTCTGTCCTTTCAAAGTTTTTAATTTCTCTCTCCTCCATTTGTGGCTGAGTTACCAAGTAACTACGGAATTATCTGGGCCTAAATGAGAGGGTTTTCTGGGCTCTAGGAAAGTGTTACATGTGAGGCTACTTGCATATGCCTGGTTGCCTGGACACACAACTTAGTATTTAATTCTCAAAACATCCCCATGCAATGGGACCCTTAAGCCTGTTTTATACATAAGAACTCTGAGACTTAGAGATGTTAAGTCACCCACTCAGCATCCCATGGCCAATATTGGCCATCTCACTTGGTCGACTCTTCTGACATTAAGATACTGTTTACTTAAATTCTAATATAGAAGGAGGGGGGCTGGCCATTTTTCCATATCCATTGTCCTAACCTGGCCAGTCAGGTAATGAAAGCTCAGTCCCTCATTAGGGAAGATTTGTGAAGTCCAGCTCAGCAAGAAAAGAAAAGAAAAACAGGACAGAGAGAAGGGGAAACCAGAGAACACCCTTGAAGACCCACAAAGGGCCTACAGGCCCATCTCCTGAGTTAGAAATGTGTTTCTAATGAGTACTTGTATCCCATCTTCAAGGGAAAACCAATTTTATCATCTGTAAACTGATACTGTTGTGTTGGGTGGTCTGTGAGAGTTCTCACAGACATTCTTGACACAGATAACCACAGGGGTCTGGCCACAGGTGTCTAGTGGGAGAACATTCTAAAGCCACCACCCAATTTAAAAAAATAGCCATGTGTCATGTGAGTCATTTACTATTATTATGTACCCTGTCTTCACACATCTGATCTTATTCATTCTTGACATAACCAATGGAGTAGGTGCTACTATTATCCTTGTCTTACAGATGAGACATTGGAAGCTCATGGAGGCGGCTCCACCTGCACTCAGTGAGGAAGGAGAATTCAAACCCATTTAAAGCAGGATTAAGCTCCTAATTCTGTTCACTCCTTTTCATCATCCCAGTGGCTTGGGTGCTCATCTCAGCCTTGACCCATCATTAGCTGTGCAGTTTCTGGACCCTTTTTTCCTCTATGGACACTGACCACTACCTGTCAGAGATGCTAAACAAACTCAAAACTGAATGCTCAGTGGAAGAAGTGGGAAAAGTGGGGAAAAGGTTTAACCTGGTGTGTTAGAAAAGGTGTGGGCTCTGAAGTCTGTCACACCTGGAATCTGGCTGTGCTGCCTCAGGCTAGTCACTTGACTTCTCAGAGCCTCAGTTTGTAGCCAGCACAGAGGGTGACATTGCTTGTGCCCGGCACACAGTAGGTTCTCCAAAAGCATCACTGCTTTCCTTGGAGGAAAGCAGGCTGGAGTAGTGATGGGGCAATGTGAGCATTGATGTGTCAAATCCCCGAAGTGTTTTCCAGGCAAGAGGGAGTTTTTCACAGACACAAAGAGAGAACATATTCCAACACGGAAAGGTTTGGTGAAGCTGGATATAAGCTCCATTCCAGGAAAGCTTTCTTGACCTTGATGACTTACCCAGGCTCACAGGGGCTGACTTCAGAGTGAATGAGCTCTGCGTCACGAGAGAACCAAGCAGAACTTTGATTGCCTCTGGTCAGGGTACAGAGGCTGAAGGGGCTGAGTTCGACTGGCCCACCTCTGGGAAGACCCTGTGTCTGTTTCCTCATCCCCCACAGGCTGTTTCACGAGGAGGACTGCTCCCTGCCTCACCACCCCCCCATTAGCACTTCCTCTGCGACCACAGGAAGGCCCAGCCCAGCCCTCACTGCATCTTCTCTAAATAAACTCGACAGCTGAGCTATCTACTTCCCCATCTCCCTGTGGAGGTGTAGTAGGCGGTGGTTAGGGGGACCTCAGGCCAAGCCGCAGAGAGGAGGGACTCGAGCAGAGACTGAGCCTACCCCTCCTCTCTCTGACCATCAGCCCATGCGTAGACTTCTTCCTCAGGCATCTGCTTGTTTTGAGTTGGCCTTACAGGACCCTGTTCTGTGTCTGCCTCCCTTTTTAGCCCAGCTGGCCCCTGTTTCAGTCATCCCTGGGCTTGCCTGCCTCCCTAATATTCTCTCCTAGAGCCAGGGTGGTGCCTTCTGCACATTGGCCCCAGAGCTCTGGAATGTGGCTTTGACCTCCATGCTGGTGCATGTAGGCCCCTGAACTCTGGTCAGTATCCTTGAGGTTGGAATGGTGGTCAGTACCCTATGTGAGTCCCCCCCGGACAGGACCAGGCAGACGGCTGGAGGATGCTGTGGTTACTGGGACAACGGACTCTGAGTGAGAGCTGGTCCGAGGACTTGCCTTGGCTGGGGCTCAGATGAGCAGTGTGGGTGCTGATGGACCTGGGCCCAGCCCTTTAGGTGAGAGAGAGGACCCATGCAGGCCCATTGTACCCCACTCTCAGGGCCCTGCCCCTTGAGCACGACTTCATCTGCTCATTTGTTCACTCACTCATATCTCACTCACTCTCTAATTTATTCAACTACTCATGCATTCACTGACTCATCCAAAAAACATTCATGCACTCACGGGTTTGTCCAAAAAAATATTCATGCAGTATCTTCCTTGCTTGTTTATTCCCTTCCCCTGGGGAAGATGGGTGTGAATTGAGCACTGCTTTTATGAATCTAAGAGATTCATACTCTTATAAGCATAGTCTAGAATTCTTGGATTGGGAGCCATGGGGGTGTGGTCTCGGGCATGGGCACTGGATTCCCTCCCATGACCAGGAGTTTTCAGGAGGCCCCACGTCTGGGCACTGTTTCCCACATGGCAATGACCTCTTACATCCCCACCAACAGTGCGCCAGCATTCTCGTCTCTCCACGTCCTGGCCAGCACTGGCCATCTGATTTTTTGATAGTAGCCATCAGAGTTGGTATCTCATGGGAGGTTTGAATTGCATTTCCCTAGTAATTAGTGGTGCTGAACGTTTTTTCACTGTGTTTTTTCTGGCCACGTGTATATCTTCTTTGGTGAAACGTCTCGTCAAGTCCTGTGCCCACTTTTTTGGAATTGGATTTTTGTTGTTGTTGAGTTGTAGGAGTTTTGTATGTGTTCTGGATGCTACTCCCTGATCAGATATGTGATTTACAAATATTTTCTTCTGTTCTGTGGGTTGCCTTTTTACTTTGTGATTAGTATGTTTGATGCACAAAATTTTAAAATCTTCATGATGTTAAATTTGTCTATTTTTCTTTTGTTACCTGTAGGCACAAAATTATTTCTTTAAAAATGAATCTATCAGTGAATGAATGGAAAGTTAGATGGATGGATGGATGAGTGGATGGCAGATGGAGAGATGATGGTACAATTGGATGGGGGTAGATGGACATTTGAATGAGTGTATGGACAGGTAAATAAGGTGGTGGGTGGGTGGATACATGGATAAATGGATGGATGGTGAGTCAGTTGGGGAGGCTGGCAGAGGGACAGGCAAATGTACAGCTGAGGGTGTGGATGGGTAAGTAGATGCCCTTGTGGGTAGGTGGGTGAACGGGCTGGTGTGAAACTGGCCACAGATGGGATCTTGATGTTCAACTTGAGTACAGTTAAGGTGAGTTGTGAATTATTTTCTGAACTCAGCTTGACTCGGATTAACCCTGTGGACACATATTCTCTCTTTCTAGGTTCAGGCTTTCTTCTACTCCCTTTGGGGCCCCCAAGAATCTCACCCCAGAGCTCAAGTTGAACTGAGCCCTTGGTTTGTCTGCTGATCTTCTCCAAGGTAAGAATGCCCGGAAAGGAGCCAGCATCCTCCTCAGGATAGAGTGCCCAACTGGCCCTGCATGATAACTGTGGACGCATTTCCCAGCCAAGTGGCCTCTCTCTGGTGGCCTCGTGCACGTCTCCATCAGGCATCACACCATTCCCATTCTCTCCAATACTCCCTTCTCTGCCCCTACCTGGGTCTCCAGCCCAATTTCCACTCCACTCCATCTGCACCCCTCCCCCGACTGGGACGGTGGAGGATAACTTAGAGGCAGGCGTCATCCAGATCAGCCTCCTGCTGCCAGTCCAAGACCTCTTTCTTGTTCCTCAGGTCCCCCAGGCAGCCATGGACTTGGGTCTCTTGGGCATGCCAGGTGCCCCTCAGGGTCGCAGCAAGACCCTGCTGGGAGCGCGGAGCAGGGGCCCGGCCGTGCGTCGGCAGCGGGAGTTCCTGCCGGAAGAGAAGAAGGACACGGTTTACTGGGAAAAGCGGAGGAAGAACAACGAAGCAGCCAAGAGGTCCCGAGAGAAGCGGCGTCTCAACGATGCGGCTCTGGAGGGCAGGCTGGCCGCTGTGCTGCAGGAGAACGCTCTGCTCAGGGCCGAGCTGAGAGCGCTCAAGCACCGCTTTGGCCTCCTGTCCCCTGCTGGCAGCACCCGTAGCCTGCCCTTGCAGGCTCTGCTGTGGACGACCCCCTGGACTGGAGACCCCCTTTCTGGGGCTGAGCCACTCCCATCTCTGCCTGGCTCCCCTGGCTGCGTCTTGAGGCCCTGTTCCCTGGATGCTGGGGTCCCGGGATGCCAGGGCTGCCAAGTGGCTCACAGGTGGACCAACCTGGCAACTTCCTCCAGGCTCCCCCAGGACCCTGCCGCCCCTGACCCCAAGAGAATGGACATGGCCTTGCAAGCTGCCCTCCCAGCCACCTTCTTTAGCTGTCACCTCCTGAGTGGACATGGGGGGCCCAGACCTGAGCTCAGGCCCTGCTGGGGACTGTGGTCTCCTGTGCCCACTGGTTGCCAGGCCTCAGGGCCCTCAGATGTGTTACTGACACCCGCTGTTGATCCCATGGGGCTGCCTCCCAGGGTGGCTTGCCCTGTCCCAGGGAACCATCCCGAGGGTCTGGCTCAGCCCTCCCTGCCCCACAAACTGCGCATCAAGTCCCGAGCCTCCAGCAGAGCAGCCGGAGGCTGCAAGGGTGGCCAGGGTCCCCTCTGAGGGCTTTCCCTAGGCAGGGCCAGGACTACAAGAGGTGGTTAAGGCTGAGCACGGATTTATTTGGGGGGAGGAGAGTGGGTGGTGGCTTGGCCTTGACCCAGCTCCCAGTATTGGGCAAGGCCTGTGAGAAGCGGTGGGGAAGGGGTCCTGGCTAAGAGTCCACTTCCCAGTGTCCAGGCCTATAGAGAGAAGGAGGGTGTGGGACTCATCTTGGATCATACCACGGCTTTCATCCCACTTAAACTATGTGCTTTGGGTAATCACTTTTTCTTCCTTCCTTCTTCTTTCCTCCCTTCCCCTTTCCTTCCATTTATCTATCCATCCGTCCATCTGTTCTTCTATTCATTTATTCATTTAATCACTCATTTTTGTGCTTATGTGTTTATCATTTACTCATTGATTCATTCTCTCATTTATCTACAATTCACTTGTCCCCTCACCTGCCCACTTATGATCTTCGTGCCCTTCCCTCTGTGCTACTCTTAGTGACAAGTAGGAGGACACCCTCCTGATGTTGGGGTTTCTGTTCTGGGGTCTGGGGGCAGTGGCTTGGGAACACGCTGAAGGAGGAAGGAATGTCTCAGGATGCCTGAATTCTCCTGTCATGGTGCTCCCTGAGGCTTGCTCACCACCTAGTTTGGGGATCAGAATGACCTAGTCCAGTGGCTTCCTCTGTGTTTCGGGTCAGGACTGTGAGCCCCCGAAAGAGGTCAGCAGTATCTGCAGGGTCGGTTTCCTTTCTCTCCCAGGCTGCCTGCTGCCCCTCCACTGCCCAGCACACACACTCCCAGTTGGCAGGGAGAAAGGACCACTCCACAGGAAAGGTCTCCCAGGGACCCTGGAGACCCAGAGCTCATCAAAGCTGGGCCGTGCAGGCAGCCCCGCACATCGCTGCCCGGCCCTCCTCTGCCGGCTCACCATGCGTTCTGGTTCTTCACCTGATGCTCAGCTCTCCAGCCGGAGCAGGAGACAGCACCTGGCCATGCCTCCCATCCCACTCATCACAGCTGCGGCAGTCAGCCATGGTGGGGGGGGACCAGCCAGCACCTGCCCTTCTGAACACCTGTGCTGCCAGCTCAGCCACTGCCCCTGGGCACAGGTGTGGGGGGAGGCGGCTCAGTGCTCTGCCTTTTCTCTCTCCTTTTGGCTTGGCTTGGAGCCTCACATCTCCCAGGAGTGTCTTGGGGAGGCGAAAAGAGGGCTGCCTGGAGAAGGTGACTCTGGCCTGTCTCTCCCCAGCCAGCCCCCACAGCTGAGGGGTAGACTTGGAGTGCAGAGGAGCCAGCTCTCTACAGAAAGATGTCACACAGCCATGGTTGATCCTTCAGAGGCCTCTAATGAAGCTCTGACTCTGACTTAAATCTAACAGGGAGAGGAAAGGAGGCAATGGGTGCAGCTGTGTGCATTCCGCCGCTTGGAGGTGTGGGTGGCTTGGTGCTTTCCTTCGGTGATGCCACCCAGCCAGTGTGTCCAAGGTGCCCGAGGGGCCTCGATCAGGAGAATCATCTCCTGTTTGGTTACAGGCCTCCTGAATTCAGACTTTGTAGGAGACAGGCCTGGGAATGTGCACTTTTTACCAGCAACCGGGAGATTCTTATAACGAGGCCAGTTTGGGGAAATGTGGCTTAGTGGAGGGCCAGCATCCTGCCTGGCTGGGTGGTCTTGCACACCTCCCCGAGTCTCCCTTGAGAGACTTCTTACGAAAGTTCGATGAGAAGTACATAAATGGCTTGGCACAGAGCCTTCTCCTGAGAACTGGTGTGTTTTATCCTCATGGTGAATGTAACTAACCCTATTTCCCTTTTTGCTTTGGTCACCAGGGGTCTCAGGGCTAAATTTATGGCTAAATCATAATAATTATTCATTCATTTATTCTAAAAATCCCTATATTCTTTCAGCAAACATTTATCGATTATATGTCATGTTCCAGGCACTGAGGAAAGAGCAGTGAATAAACAGATGTGGTTCCTGCTTCTGTGGTGCTGGCAGCCCCATGGGGGAGACAGACAGAAAAATGTACGAGTGCAGGATCAGTGGTGGAAAATGTGATGGAAAATAAAGACAGAGGGGCCTAGGGAGAGCTAGTGGTGGGCGGGTTACAAGGATTGAAACAGAAAGGTCAGGAAAGGCCTTGCTGAGATGGTGACATTTGAGCAGAGACTCAAGGGAGCGATGCATGTGCGGGGGAAGAGCACTCCCCAGGTAGAGAGAACTGTCTGTGTGAAGGTCCTGGGGCAGGACCGTGCCTGGCGAGTTGCAGAGACATGGAGGAGGCCCCTCTGGTTGGGGAGAGAGGGAGGAGGTGCAGACGGGGAGGTGAATGGGGGCGGGTCATAAAGGGCCTGTGGGTCTAGGTGAGGGCTCTGTCTTCCTCTCTGAGTGAGATCAGGGCGCCGGGGAATTTCTGAGCACGTTCTCCTGTAACTGTCCGTCCCCCACCCCACTCCATCCTGTGGTATGTGGGGCTGAGTGAAAAATATAAATAAACCCACCACACATGCGCAGGAGAGCTGGCTCGTCATCTGAGAATGGGGCGACTGACCACAGTTGCTGTAACTTGCCTCCCCGCAGGCAGCCCACATGCCCCTGCACTTTGAGCCAGAATGCGCATCCCGCCCCTGCTTCCGACCCTTTCTGGGCTGTGAGCGAGGAGCAGGTGAGACTGCTCCATGAGGTGGACTCATGGAAGGAGAAGGCAGATGTTTCTCTTTCCTTCTTTATACAGCTGCCTTCCCCTAAGGGAGGGCAGGCCCAGCTAAACAGGAAGAGCCAGAGATAAGGTGGCTCCAGCCAGTGACCGGGGAGGACAGCCCTGAAAGACCATGGGTGACATGGACCTGTGTGGGGGTTGACTGTGGGAAGGGGCGCTGGGGGAGGGGCAAAGGGGGAAAACTGGGACAACCGTGATAGCATATGCAATTAAAAAATGACCATGGGCGAGAAGGAGGTAGAGAATTATACTGGCCCCACAATTACCATGATCACCGAGGGCCTGTCACTAGGACAAGCGGGCTCATTTCCCAGCCACCTGGTCCGGGCCAGTGCTTGTGCCTTGGATTTTGTTCATCCTCTGCAAAAGGCTTCACCATCATTATTATTATTCTCATTAATAGATGAGTAAACTGAGGCTGGGAGTGGCCACCTACCTTGTTTAGCACCGCAGAGCCAGCAGTAAACGAGCCATTTCCTCCCTCGTTGCTGCGCTGGCACCATGCCGACTCTGTCTTCCTGAAATTACTCCTATGCCTCCAGTCTTCATGCTTGCTGTGCCCTCTGCTGTGATGCTTTTCCCTGAGCCCTTAAAGAATTTTTATTTTATTATTTTTAAATTTATTTTTAATTTAAGTATACAATATTATATAAGTTATATTAGCTTCAGGGGCATAATTAGCAATTAGACATTTTTGTACTTACAATCTGATCATCCTGCTAATTCGAGTGATCATCTCTCACCATGCAAACAAACATTCTCCACCTTTATATGATTCTCCATTTCCATCTTCAGATCTTGGCCCAGATGCTATTTCCTAAGGAAAGGCTTTCCCTGATCATCCACACCAAAATACTTCTGGTTATTTATGTAAGTCCTACACATGGTAGTTGTTCAATAAACATTTGTTGACTGAACAAGTGGGCTGGATATTAATTGTTGATCTTCCTAGTAACAACTTTGACTGCAGCAAAATTATATCTCCACCTTTCCCTGACTGGTGTGCTCAGTTGGTTCCGTGTTGTCCTGCAAAGTGGAAGGTCGCTGGTTCGATTCCTGGTCAGCGCACATGCCTGGGTGGCATGTTCCAACCCTGATGGGGCATGTGCAAAAGGCAATGGATCGATGTTTCTCTCACATCAATGTTTCTCTCCCTCTCTTTCTCCCTCCCTTCCCCTCTCTCTAAAATAAATAAATAAATATTTTTAAAAATGTGTCTCCATCTTGAGGGTGAAGATGTCACAGGGACAGGGAGCCTCTCCATCCACTGCCTGTCCTGGTATTTGGGACAGGACCTGTCACACAGTAGGTGTGTGACAAATGTGGAATTGTATCTGAGGTTCAAGGAAGAGCCAGGGACCACACAATGGGCAGAGGGAAACGAGGAAGAAGGAGGATGTCACGTGGGTCCTTCATTCATTCACACCTTTCTGAGAGAATAAAACTGATTCCTTTCCATTCTGAGCCTGTGCTTGGAAAAGGAAATGGATGACCACCGAGTGCACAGCGAGGAGGCCAGGATCACGTCCGATGCTGTGGAGGTCTGTGAGCTGATGGGCGGGAGCCGGGGGCTTTTAGGGACGGGGAGGTCAGGGAAGGTCCCTTGGAAGCTGTGACATTTGAACCCAGACCTGGAAAACATGAGTGAAAGAAGCCACTCACAAAAGGCCACGTGTTTTACGATCCCACTTCTATGAGATATTCAGAATAGACATTCATAAGCAGGCTGGTGGTTGCAGGGGCTGGGGGCTGGGGGCAGACGTGACTGCTAAATCTGGCCCCGGATTTCCTTTTTGGGGTGGAATGTTTTGGAACTAGATAGAGGTGGTGGTTGAACAACCTTGTGAAAGCTCTAAATGCCACTGAATCGTTCAGTTTAAAATGCTAACTTTCTGTTATGTGAATTTCATGCCAATTTTAAAAACTGCCAGTGAGTCTGCCCTGTGCAGAGGACAGGCGGGCATCTGAGAGGGGGAGGGAAGGAGAGATCAGGGAACCGGGTGTGGAGTGCAGAGGGGATGAGGAAGGAGGTGGGCCCTGCTGTGTCCCAGCCTGGACTGGACACAGGGCCCTCACGGGGTGGGGGTGACCAGGGCTGAAGTGCCAGGGCCTGCCAGGATGGGGATCTCTCTCTCACACACACACACACACACACACACACACACACACTCCCACCTGTGTGTGCACATGTGAAACAACCTGTGCATGCACACACGTGTGCTTGGGGCCTGAGGGGGGACATGGAGCACACACACGCACACATTGTGTGTACAGGGAGCCCCCTCATATT